ATGCTTCCATCCCTGTAAATAATTGAGGGAGTATTACAGGGGTTTCTACAAACAAGTCATTCTAGAATTTTTAGGTAAAAAGCAATCTTTAATTCTATAGGGAATAATTTTTATGTATTATAAAAATGTGATATCTTGTGGACTATCATTGGACCAAGGAATCAGAAATCTTAAAGAAATACTTTCTGTATATCTAATTTTATGAGCTAAGGATAGCAGTCCTATATTAAAAATTTATCTAAAAAAGCAGTCTTCAGAAATGTAATTAGGTAGTTCAAATTCTGGTCATACACTTAAGCACACTCTAAGGTAAAAGAAGCAGTTTTAATTGAAAGAGAAGGAAAATATAACTATGAATAATACTTTTAATCTATGGCTTTTTGACTATTATTTACTCGATATTGATGAACATACTTGATTTCAGATTTTTAATTCTGACTCTTAATTATTCTCTTAATCATTCTATTATTGCCATTTGAATTTTACATATTTTGGTAGACTTCCATGAAAATTGGTAGCAGCCACAATTATATACATATATATTTTTTATTAGACTGAGAATAGGCCTTTAATACATCTTGGATCATAAACATGAAGCATTTCCTGCATACATATAGCTATAATGTTAATAGCTAGTGTCTTCTTTGGTTTCAGACAGTCCTGTTTGAAGACATATTGAAACTCCCATGAGGCATTAGGAATTTCTATTTCAAGAAGTAGAGCTAATAAAGGCAAACTTGAATTATCCTAATAGTTATTCAGTTTTTGCTTGGTAGGTTTCAAAGTGGCTTGCTACTTTATAGAGCTGGGAAAGACGAACAGATGGCAAACCTGTGAGTTGCAACCTCTGCTTTTGCCCTCAGTGTTACTACATGGGTCACTGTATTAGTGTTTAAAGCCTTGTCCCCAAGGCTTAACCCCTGGGAATTCTGTGGTCCTACTAATTAGAAGTTGACCATCTTTGTGTCTAAGCCCACCATGAGCCTTTTTTATTAAAGGGAATATTATGATAACCTTAGACATCAACTAGTTCTGGTGATGTCCTTTCTGAAAAGAATAATCGTGATAAGTGAAAAAATAAGCTCTGTGAAAGGACTATGCTGAAGTAAAATAGCCACTAGAGTCAGTAACCTTTTACTGACTGTAGTGGCTATTTTCTTACAGGTTACTAGAGGCCCGGTGCATGAATTCGTGTATGGGTGGGGTCCCTTGGCCTGGCTGGCAATCAGAGCGATTGGGGCCTTCTTACCCAGTCCCGATCGGGGCGGCTGGCCCGGGAGGCAGGACCACGGGAGATTGGCTGTGGGAGTGCACTGACCACCAGGGAGCAGCTCCTGCGTTGAGCATCTGCCCCCTGGTGGTCAGTGTGCATCATAGCGACTGGTCATTTAATCCACTGGTCATTCGGTTGACCAGTCGTAATGGTCGCTTAGGCTTTTATATATATAGATGGTTTCATATGTCCATTGAAAATAATTTTATTTGTGCTACTAAAACAAATTGATAAAAAGATGTGAAATTCTAAATTTTTCATGTGAAGGGAAGAATTAATAGAATATGAAAAATATTAATTCATGTATTTATTTTCTTTATGGATATTCTAGACCAAGGTCTCATTAAACCTTTAAAATGACATAAAACAAGTAATTCTATGCTAGACCTCCAGGAAGTTATCAGTTGCTTTACAAAAACTATATTGTGAACAGTTTCTACATTTGATATCTTTGAAAGTTGAACCCACTGGGGATCGGGGCCATTTGTTAATGAAAGTACAAGGAAAAGTATTAGTGTGGATATATTTCATGGAATCCTAGAATTAGGAGGGCCTTAGAGATAATCTAACCTAATTTTTTCATTATTTTAGGTGAGGAAGCTGATACCCAGAGAGGCTTAGTGACCTGCTGAAGGTCACACATTTGTAGAACTGGGGTTTCATTACAGACCTCTTTAACCTATACCATGTGTCTTGAAATCAATATTAATATAAAACTGAGATTCTGGGTATCTGCTATATCACGAAACCATTTTATTTAATATTGGTATTCATTAAGTTTAGGTTTCTCTCCCTTGTTAGGGCATAGTTTCTCTGTTTCATTCTGCAGGCATACAAGTGAATTTTTGCAGTTAAAACCTTTTAGAATAATATAAGTGTCAGCAACTCTGTGTCTTTGTATCTATTGCAGTCTTTCAAATCAGAGAAAGTGTACCTAAGTTTGTGTGTGCAGATGTGAAGTAATGGGTAATGAAATTGCACTTGTGGAATAGAGTTCTGAGTCAGGGGTGGCTCTGGGAACTGAAGTTCATTGACAAACTGTTTTCTAAAGCTAAGTACCCAATATACCCTTCAGCCAGAAATGCCTACAAGATCTTGGACATGATCTTGAAATATGTAGGAGACAAAACAGAAAGCATTTTTCTACCTTTATGCAAAATTATAATGCATGAAATACTGGAAATAATGGAATTCTCCATTTTTTTCAGATTGTACAATTTAGTCTTTAACTTGCTGGTGGGATACATCCACTATATGCACAGTTTGTTTTTAAGGCAAAAGTTTCAAGAGACTCTAGAACTCTTGAGTTAACTTTTAAAAACAGTGTCCTTGTGAGTAAAGCACCAATCTAAGAAAATTTGGATTCCACTACTGTCTCCTCCCCCACCCCCCACCCCACCCCAAGTTGCTAGGAATATAGTAGGCATTTGATTTGTGCTTATTTGAATCTTATTTGAATTCACTGTGCTCTTGTTACCATTGTGCATGTTTCAGACTTCTGAGTTGCAAGTTGGACGAAGACCCATTCCTTGCCTGCTCTTGTAAGGTGCTTTAGAAAGTAGGACCGTTATAGAACCAATGCATGTTCATGTTATAAAAAGTCTTGGTCAGTATGTGCTTGGTTCCTTAGGGTACTGAACGCTGTGGCCACTTAAGCAAGCCCATGTAGTAATCCTCTGCAGCAGAAACAGTCTGTTCCACACTAGGAGTTAATTCTTTTCCTTCCCTTAGTTATAATTTCTCTGTCAACCACTTTCACTCCACCAAAAGAAAATCTCTGAACTGCTTTTAAAAGAACTACCATGCTTAACTTGTGCAGTTACCAAATCATGCTTTTTCCCTTTTTCTCATTAAAATTCTCTAAGGAACATTGGTCTTAAATTTACAGCGGCATCTATTCATTCAAATTAATAGATACAGTTACACTAACATACAATATTTAATTATAACAATAAAACCTAACATTTGATTGAATGTCTGCTATGTGCCAAAGGATTAAAGTTCAAAACTAAATTTATTTCGGGGACAAGGGTGTGAATTTTGATAGTGAAACAGAACTGATCATGTAATTGTGAATTTGTTAGAATGTTGTATAATTGGCCGTGTTGCGTGGTTTCTCCTGGTGAGATCATATAATTGTGTTTGGCAGCTCTTCTTTCGTTACCTGCCAGATAGGTTTATATTAGCCTCCATAAGTCATTATACCTACATTTGTAGAGCCTTAATTCTTTGAATCAATGTGAATCTTCTTAAATGGTGGCATACTATCGGTCATTGTAGGTATAGTGATATGAGGTCTAAATGTTGCGACAATTCATGTTTTTTAAAGCGAAGTTATTACTTTTTATATCTTGTTACAAAATTTCAATTTCTACCAACAAAAGTATTCAGTGTTTATATGTTTATGGTGCTATACAAATCAAATGGGTCTTTTAAGAACTTAAAATCTAGGAGGGTGGGGGGAGGATGAGGAGGGTAAAGGGGGTCAAGTATATGGTGATGGAAGGAGACTAGACTTAAGTGTTGAGCACACAATGGAATATACAGATGATGTATTATAAAGTTGTACACCTGAAACTTATATAATGTTTTTGACCAATGTTACTCCAATAAATTTAATTTAAAAAATCTAAAGTATCTAAAGGGATGATTATTATGAAACTTTTTAAAAAATATATATTTTATTGGTTTTTTTACAGAGAGGAAGGGAGAGGGATAGAGAGTTAGAAACATCGATGAGAGAGAAACATCGATCAGCTGCCTCATGCACACTCCCCACTGGGGATGTGCCCACAACCAAGGCACATGCCCTTGACCGGAATTGAACCTGGGACCCTTGAGTCCGCAGGCCGACGCTCTATCCACTGAGCCAAACTGGTTAGGGCTATTATTAAACTTTAAAAAAAATTTACATGTGTATTAAACAAACCCTAGATATTGGGCAAATAGCAAAAAAGGTTTAGACAAATGAATTTCTCTGTGAGTACAACCAGGAAGAAAGAATTTGGCTATGGGCTCAGAGAAACAAATTTTAGCATTTGCTTTTTGGGGAAAATCATTTTATGTTTTACTTGATAAGAAGAGGGACATCCAAGTAAGAGTCGGCATGTATCAAAATTCTTGAAGAGTTAATCCAACATAAATATAAAGAAGTGTACATGATTTATTTGAAATCTCTTTCAGGATTTCATTTCATTTATTTTTAATGGTTTCCTAGTCCTTTCCTTAGACCAGTGGTTCTCAACCTTCTGGCCCTTTAAATACACTTCCTCATGTTGTGACCCAACCATAAAATTATTTTCATTGCTACTTCATAACTGTAATGTTGCTACTGTTATGAAGCGTAATGTAAATATCTGATATGCAGGATGGTCTTAGGCGACCCCTGTGAAAGGGTCATTCGACTGCCAAAGGGGTCGCGACCCACACGTTGAGAACCGCTGCCTTAGATTGTGGGTCAAAAAGTATTGCCCTTTAGAAATCATCCCGTTCCATAATATTGCTGTATTTGGGGGAGCATAATATATTAAGATATAGGAGTATAGAACTATTTTTTTTTAAGGAGGAGGAAAGGGACTAAGCTATGGAATGGATCTAAAACAAAGCTAATAAACTTGGATTGCATTTATTTGGGTAATTAAAAGTACACTGAATCTAATGAGACCTGGGACTTGGTTTTTCTAAAATGGGTTGCTCACTACTTTCTCTTCTCCTCTACTTCCCACAGGAAACCAGTTTCCTCCAGTGGCAGCACAGGACCTGCCTTGTGTTTTTAAGGCTGGCTACCTTGAAAAACGCAGAAAAGGTAAACTAAGACTCCGATGAAAACTCTAAAAACGGTTTTATCCTTGGATAAAAGATGCTTGCAGTGTACATGTGGAGCCAATGTTCTCGTTAGGTGATTGAAGAGTTTTAAGACTCTAAGAAAAATCTGGATGACATTATACAAACCAAAAAGTACAGCGTTTAGCTTTAAATAATTTTTATAACCAACATTTGCTAGGTTTTTAGTTATCAACCCCAGTTATTTGTAATGATTCAGGGGCTGTCTCCTGCCTGTCAGAGGAAGGCGCGGGCCATGACTGTAATCTCAGGGATGGGATTTCTCACCACTGTCCGACCACCAAGCGGCAGGTTCTCCTGCGCCTCACCTGGCATACACTGTGCCTGCAGTGGTCCGGCCCAGCCTGGCCTGTTTTCTACCATTTTCTGTTACTCATTCAGTGTTCCTCTCCATTGGCTATGATAATGGGGAGTTGACCATATGGTCTCACTCTGTCAACACCAATATATAATGGAAATGAAATACGGAGGAGGTGTGATGATATGGGAAATGAAAAGCAGAAAGTCTCTTCATTCCCATCCTGCTTATCTCTCAGGGACTCCCTTTGGGCCTTTTTATTTATATTCCATTTGCTTTCCTTAGCTTTCTTAGCCAACTTTTGAAGCTGAAAGAGACACTAGAAATAATCTAGTCAGCTCCTCCCCTTCCTTTTCATAACAGATGAGAAAATGAGACCCAGATGAATCCATTATCTGCAGGCTGTGTAGTCAAATGCTGTGTGGACCGTCCCCAGCAGGAAAGTTGGTCAGCGTCCTGTTGACCCCATAAACGTGGCAGCTCCAGCTCTGCCTCACTTTGTTCCTTTTAGCTTTGTTTTTGTCTCTTGCAAAGAAAATACAAATGACTTAGTCCTAGAATTTTAGAGCTAAACAGGAACCTTAGAAATCATAGTAACGAACATATCCTTTTACAATAAAGAACTGCCCGGCTGGCGTGGCTCAATGGTTGAGCATTGAACTATGAACCAGGAGGTCAGGGTTCGATTCCCAGACAGGGCGCATGCCCAGGTTGTGGGCTCAGTCCCCAGTAGGGGCCGTGCAGGAGGCAGACAATCAGTGGTTCTCTCTCATCATTGATGTTTCTATCTCTCTCTCCCTCTCCCTTCCTCTTGAAATCAATAAAAGAAATACATTTTTAAAAAGAACTGGTGTTATGTTTATATATGTTATGTATATTATCTAAACTGTTTCCTTTCCCCCTTTATTGTAGATCACAGCTTTCTGGGATTTGAATGGCAGAAACGGTGGTGTGCTCTCAGTAAAGGAGTGTTCTATTACTATGGAAGTGACAAAGGTAGTATTGGTGTTCAGTTATCTACACTTCTATTGCATGAGGGCTTGGGAGCTTTGGTTCACTCTCCCCCCACCCCCCCACCCCCGCCTTTTTTCTGATACAGAGTAAACTGAAAACAGATGGAGAAAGAATAACTGAGAACTTTAATAATTATAGTCTAAGACTGATTTATAATTCTTTTTTATTATTTGACAAATTCTCCAAATTCCTGAATGCTCTAAAAGTTAATACAATTATGTTTTATTGAATTAGCAAAGAGAGTAAAATAACTCTCTATGTGGCCTTTCACCTTAGGAAATATTTGTCATCCAAGGTACAGTTGTAGAATCTCTGGAGAAGTTAAGACCATTAGGATTGTGAGAGTTTAGCTATTTAAGCACTCCAGCTATATTAACTTGTCTGTGCGGTAAGGTACTATTATTAGTCCCATTTATTTTACTGTTTGAAAAACTGAGAACAGAGAGGTTAAGTAACTTGTTCATGGTCACAGAGCAGATAAATGGCAGATCTGGGCTTTGAACCTAGCCATAATGGTTAGAGTCTGTACTATTAACCATTACTGTCACTATATTAATTTAGAAACAATAAGATATACCTTGTAACTTCATTTGCTAATTAACAAATCTCTTAGTCATAGTTTACATAATTTTAAGTTCATTATTTGAACAAATAAAGTCATAAAATATTGAAATTTAAACAGTATAAGTTTTTATTTTTCCTAGGAAAAGAAGGTCAGGAGTTGAATATTATAGAGTAAGGGTCATACAGAAATAGCTAACATTCATTTCCATAAAGGACACTTAAGGAGAAAAGAGACATGAAAGTTTAATATCACGGAATAGAAGCTTTCCCATGGAATTCTTATCAGTGTTTTCACTTGTGTTGTTTGGAAATTTATGTTTTATTTGACATTATTTGCATATTTTAGTTTTTTTCTTATTATATTACTAGAGGCCCAGTGCACGAAATTCTTGCATGGGTAGTGTCCCTAGGCCTGGCTGGCGATCAGGGCCCATTGGGGCCTTCAGGCTGCCAGCTGGGGCCTGCCTTCGTTCCATGCCGTCCCCTGGTGGTCAGCACACATAATAGCGAGTAATCCTGGTCTCCTGGTCGAACTCTCAAAGCGACACTTTGTATATTAGCCTTTTAAATATGTAGATTAGGCAGAAATGATGAGTCTATTTCAAATAAATTTGAAATACATGCATGATTCTGGAAGTTGAGCTTGCCTTTTGACTAATAGAATTAACAAACAAGAATTAATTTCGTTGGTAGTTTGCATTCTGTCAATAATTTATATGTTCAAATGTAATAATGGCATCAATGGAATATAAACTATAAATAACTATTAACAGGCAGCCTTCTTTCTTCTGCTAAGGGAAGTAGGTGATTTTGTCCAAAAATTTAGAGCCCAAATTTAGTTGATTATCATACGTCATTTACGTGCGTGACTATTATAGAAATACTGGAGGCCCAATGCACAAAATTCGTACAAGGGGCTTGGCCCTCGCAGCTGCGGTGGCTTGCCTCAGATCTCGCAGCCCCAGCTTTGTCTGGAAGGTTGTCCAGCTGTCCGGTCTAATTAGCATATTAGCTTCTATTATTATAGATAATGTTGTATAGCATCATGAATTGAGATCGAGATCTTACTTTTTTTATAAAGAAATATCCTCAATTTTTTAAGACCAGAGGAGGGAGGTTGCAACACCTCATGGTTTGGTTCAGTTAGGCTTCTCATTTCTAATTTCTTCACAATCAATGAATTCTAATGTCTGTTTCCTCCACCCCAGTCCTAACTGGTATATACCAACTGTTAGGGCAGGGAGTCACCAGTTTCCCAAAAACCTCAGGAATGTTTATATTTATTTCAAAGGCGAATGTTCATTAAATAAATTCGAGGACTTTTTTGGGTTGTGGTGGGGATATTAGTTAAATTTCCATATCTAGTCTTATTTGTTGAAACCTTTTGGTAACAACATTCTTTGTAATTTGTGTTTTTAACTACTTTGTGATCCATTTAGCCAGCTGTACCACCACTGCTTTTAAAAAATTACTATTCCAGCATTCCTTTCTTATGTGGATGCTTGAAGATCTGGTTTATATTTCTTTAAATTCTTCCCTGTCTGTTACTATGAAGCCTCCTGTTTCCATGGAGATTTCAAATCTGTTTTTAGTGGTTCTTTTCTCTGTGGCTGCTTCCTTTGGAATTCTTAGCCAGTTCTTTTCCTTTTAGGGATTTAGGGGAGGGAGAATCTATCTTTAGACAGTTTTAATTGCTTGTTTGTCATGATCCTAATGTCCTTCCTTTGTATCTTTTTCTTTCCAGGAAAATGTATGTGTCATATGAATTTTTTCTCTCTCATGTGAAATTGGGTAACTGATTTGTACAGTCTTGTTTACCGTTTGTGTGAACCATTTACCTAAACTTGGGAAAGAGCTATTTAGATATATGAGAACTATAATCCTCCAACTAAGTAGGATTTAGATAAATGGATTAGAGAGACGCAGAAGGAGTTGATACACTCACTAGATTAAACTGTACTTGGTTACTGCTTGACAGATACATTGTTCATATTTGCTAACATACTGTGTGCGCCAAAAACCATTTTGACCCATCAAGATAGTAATGGCTTAGAAAGAGTAGTTCCGGTCTCTAGGGTAAAAAAATGCACTTACCTTTATATCCATAAATATTATTGGTATTTATTATTCATGGCCATTTGAGGCATAAGTATATATAGAGAGAGAGTACATATTTCATCACTTCATAAAATGGCATCCATCCTTTCATCTCCTTCCTCTTCCTTTGATTGTTCGAATCTCATTCATCAAAATTGTTTGATCCTAGATGCCGAGACTGCCATCAAGGTAGTCATTCATTCACTCATTCATTCATGTACTTATTTGATAAACATCTATTGGATACTAGGCACTGGGAGTCCTAAGATAATCCTGCCTTAGAGGTACTCACACTTTAAGTGAGAGGAAGTTGTGTGATTAGAAATGGGGGCTGGATGGATAAACTGATCATTTCAACCAGGGGTAGTATGTGATTTAAATAAACTATCTTTGTATCACAAAGGAGGGGTGGCTAACTGCCTAGGGGAGCTAGGGAATACTTTCTAGTGGAGAGGACATTTGGCCTTAAATAATGAGGAGGAGTTTGTCAGGTGATGAAGGGTACAATGGGCATTCCAGGCAGGGGAACAGCAGATTGTGAGCTGCAAAAAGCCTTGGATGAGATCAAAGAGATCAAAGCGGGAATCAAGGCAGAGCACAGAGTGAGTGAGGGGAGGGGGCACATACAGCTACAGGAGCGGGTCAGGATCTGATTAAGCCTAGGGCTTTATGACCAGATCCAGTTTTTAGAAAGCAATTGCAATAGTATTGTGGGGGTGGATTGGGATGGATAGAGAACTCGTCCACAGGATCATGTCGAAGGATTTTGAACTAGAGAGGCAAGAGAGGCTGTCCCAGGGCTGCTGAGAGGCTGACCTCGCTGGCTCCACAGTCATGCTCTCGCCACAGCTTGGTTGTTATCAGCCCCTTCAGCATCCTGTAAGTGATGGCTCATTGAGGAGCCGGTTGCAAACTCATGTTTTATTTTGGTTTTCCCTTTTTCTTTTTAACCTCCCTATGATCTTGAATCTGCATAATGAACCTTACTTATCTCTTCTCACGTTTGAAAGGGGAGTGGTTAGTTTGTAATATTCTCTTTTCTTCCCACTTAAGAGGTTTTGCTGCCCCTACCCTCCACTTTCCAATTAAAGAAACTCTTAGTGCCATCCAGTATGTGGCAGCTGCAAGTAGCCTTGATCCTACCAAATCATCCTAAATGCACATTAAAAGTTATTTATTACACCAGATGGGTATAACTTTTTTCAGTGTTGTCTCTTTTCTGATGACCAGAAGTCATTAGAAAGTTGGGCTTAATACAGATCATTTAAAATAAAACATTTAGGTTGATAAGGAAATAAACTTTTTATTGAAATTGACCTCTGCTCTCCCTTCTGCCACAACCTCACCATTGATAGGAAAAATAGGATATATCTTTTCAGTTGGGACAAAAATTATAAAGTGTCTTTTGATGTTGAAATAGCATCAAAGTTCTCTGTGAATATTTAAAAATATTGTTAAAGGATAGAGTGTATGTACGATTGGAAGTTCTGTTGTTTTATGATGACAACTTTAGTAATAGCCATAAAAGCTTACCTTTTCCCCCTGACTTATTTGATAAGAGGCAAATTCCTGGGTCAAGGCACCAGCATGTTATAATTATATGATGAATATGTATAAAATGTGTAAATGAAATCAGATTTTTAAAATTTATAATATAATTTTGTTTGTGTAAAGAAGGATAATACCTTTGTTATTCTTTAAGAGGGGTATAGTTAATTCTACTTTTTATCAGAATTATTGCAATTTTATAGGCTTTGAGGCCTTTGATATGCAAATATTAACTTTATAATTTATCACAATAAATGTGAACTAAAAGGCCTTTATTTCTGCCTTTATATGTAGTTAAGAGACCTTGTAACAGAGAAATTAAAATGTACACCTGATGTTCGGTAGGATTTTATCAACATGTAGAGATATTCAAGTACAAGTTAAGTCTCATGAAGGGTCTGATGATGACAAATCATGTTGGTTTGCAATAAACAGGACTCAGTTTGAATTAAAATATACCTACGTCCATATATAGATTGAAGATACATAGAGATTGAAGGTAGATATATTTTAAATCAAACTGTGCACTGCTATAACTATTATGTAGATATAGATATATGGATGTTGCTGTACCTATCTGTGTATATATAGAGATAGATAGATACAGCAACCAGTAGACTTTCTTTGAACATCTATGTGTCAGGTGTTATTAATACAAAGCGGCATAATACACTGGCTCAGAGGAATGGGCACAGAGGACCCATAAAACAGTATGATATGTCGAAGCTGGCTCACCGGGGCAGTAGGTGAGTAAAGGCTCTCCGCCAGGAAGG